GAAATATATAGAGGGAAATATATAGAGGGAAATATATATATATATATATATATATATATAAACATAAGTACTACTATAGAGACTACCATATCAGCATAGACTAAATCGCTTGTGCGTGTCACCTATAACACCATAAATCAGCAAACAATTTTTTTTTTTTTACAAAATTGTAAAACAAATTTGATTAATTCCTTATAGGAACTTATTAGCACACATGTACATAGGACCGGATTCCTTAACTTGTCAAGAAAATCATATGAAATGACAAACCTGTGCTGACAATGACCTTCATGTCCTTTGTGTACACAGCATGGGTGCTATGGCCTTCAGGTAAATATAGGAATAACCCCAGGGAGGATGGCTCATAGTAGACATTCTGTAAGAAAGATTGATAGCTCTAACAATCTTTTTAAAACTACAAACTCATGACACGAACAGTTGATCCTACATAATGCTAGAACAATTTGAAGTATCTAATAAATCTGATCTAAATTACTGTGAGTTAGTTGTCTGTGTGTATGACTGCATGGTATTGTTCTTACATTCCACTTATCAGAAAGATGCAGTGAATTTCTGTGAGTCCTCTTCAGACAACTCTCACAAAACACTGCAGTAGTACTGCACTCAATGCACCTGTAATCAGCATGTGCTAGGCAGACAACACACTGGGTAGCGATTGGTGCTGAACATTCAAACGACACCTTAAGCATGTCATCCTTGACTGCATCCCAGGCATGAAGCTCTCTCTTCTTTGCCCTACTGTATGCACTCTCAGAACTACAGTTCGGTGACACATCATCAGGTTCAGCAGGTTGAGATGTAATAGTTGGGTTGGTCTGTTTGGAGTTGGGCTGGGGAAGACCTTGACTAAGGTAAGAAACCTTTGCTGGGCCAAAGATACCCCTCCTCACCACCTTAATCTTAACGCTCCTGGAACGTGTGGTCTTAACTGTTTTTCCCATATCTGAAATCAAAATATTTGTCAATTATTACATAAGCAAAGTGCAAACTGTACTTATCACAGCCTAAAAAGACAAAAACACATCAATGAGCGTGGGATGCAGATAAGGGATATGTATTTTGTGCCATAGATAGATATCTCAATAAGAGTAAGGTTAGGCCTATGCTTCAGTAAAGCATCAACGAGCATACAATATCAAGCAATAGGCTGCTTTAAAATGTGGAAAAAGTAATTTTGCAAGGCTAACTTTACGTTTAACTAGAAACTACATTTCCCCAGTAGCCTCATGAGCAAAAACATGCTTATTTAGCAACTGTAATGGTCAATTAAACAAGCAAGTTAGTTAACGTAATGCTAAAGGCTTTACGTAAACGTAATAACGTAATAGAGCCTAACGTTGGCCTGTTTAACGTTTACAAAATAATCGTAATACGCTTAACTTATGTCAACACTCATGTCACGCAACATTAAAACACATTTTATGTATTGTTTTCCATTATTGACTAATTATTACGGTATAAATGATCGGTTTTATCATTAAATGTTCTTACCTGAAAATACCAAGCGCGAAATATCATCATACGGTTATCTCATAACGTCACGCAACATTAAAACACATTTTATGTATTGTTTATGTATTGTTTTCCCTTACTAACTAATTAATTACCGTTTAAATGCTCGTTTTTTATCATTTAAATGCTCTTACCTTATCAAAAATCAAGCGCGAAATATTCCAACGTAGCTGCGTCATTCAGTAGACTTCCGATTACCGGCGAGCTGGATTCTGGGATTGGAGCTGGAGTCTTCTCCTGTATTTGTCGGTGATTAACCATGTGGATGGATGATAACAGCCTTCTGAGCCTACCAGTAGGCGCAGCAGGCCCCTACTGGCCCATATATATGGAATGATAACCACTGATAACGCCCATTCAATCGAGTGATAACATTCGAAGCGGGTGTGTAGACAATGATTTGTACTGAATGATTCAGGGTGAACTGTCCTCATATGTCTCTTGAAAGAAAGGAATACAGGTTGACTTACAGATTTGTGAGTAAATGACGAAACAAAACAAAAAATTCATGGTGATCTGTTAATACACAAATAAGGGTTAAGCGTCGAAATAAGGGTTTTAACACAATTCAAAGCGCAACACAAATATGTCACATTCTCAGAGTTGTCACAAGACCATCTTCTTTTACGACCAATTTTCTGACAGGGCATCGCTACTACAGTTTGAAGAATCTTGGGCAATTTTTAGTTCATCTGAATCAAACATACTGTAAATCCTGGTAACACTTTTCTTCTCCTATTCATGCGAGTAATCATCTGATAAAGTTTCATGTAAGTTAAAATGTTTACCCTATTCACCTGTAGTTGCGTCTCACTTTAAAGAGCCAAATGGCGGCCATCTTGAATTTGAAGGTCAAAAATAGGTAAAATAAATAAATCTACATAATCTATGAATTTCTTGACCCAAATAGTCACAGAAACCATGTATTATGCAGCACTGTGGGCAAAACCATTAAAAAGTTAATTTCCAGCGGCAGCCATTTTGGATCAGGCTCTCACAAAATTTCCCCGCATTTTTGTGAGGGGCACCCCAGCTAATTTTTTTCTTTAACCTTTATAGATGACAAATCCAGTGAGAAACGAACCTTCGCTCTCCACGGTCATGGAACGGCTAGCCCCGCCCCTTTTCAGCGCTGCGCTCATTGTCTTTTGACTTCCGGTCTGTATTTTCACAGGGATCTTGCGTAGGTATGAATGAACTGCTCGTAAAAAGTTCGTTTCTCTGGTGCATAAGGTCTATAGATGATAGATTTTTTTTTTTTTTTTTTTGGATTACCATCAAGAGTGAAGCGTGAGCTTGGTTTGGGAACTGGTATGTTAAATGTTTACTCTTTCAGCATTTAATAGTAGCCTATACTATGCTAATGCTATTAAAGCATTGTGTTACCAAGTTGAAACTTAGTACTGAAATTGAAAAGTTTCCAGTAGGCCTACTACTAAAATATTTAGGCTAAGTTGAGATAACATGGTCATTTTAAGTAAAATGTATGAATTAGCTTACTCATATAGCCTATTTAAATTAAGATCAATTATGTGTTAAGCTGTTATGCTACTTCAAATACCTGGCACAGGTAGCTATTTGAAGGAAACTCTATTGTTACCATGAGTGCTCACATTCAACAACCACAACCCAATAACGCATGGTATTCGTAACATAAGTCCTGCTTTGATGTAATATTATTCTGTTTATATTTGAATGAGAGTTGACTGTCTCTAGATGATATAAATAAGGGATATTCTGATGATTCATCTGCAACATCTCTGTCCAGCACCGTACACTACTCCCTGGGATATTGATCGGCCATTTCTGAGAAGAAGGCTTAAGAGTTGACATGTCATTGAATCCCCCTGTGCCCATGGTCTTAAATCCTGATTGCACATTGAGGCGCTTATCTCTCACACAGTACCCACCACCGAATCCTTCTGTCTCCCTCTGCAATGAGTTCTTATAGAGCTTGGGCTTAAGGGTGATGTCACTCCATGCTTCTAATCACTGATCTTAGGTCAGTTTTGATGTTAAATGCTCTTATGGTTTAAAAGTCACTGTCAAAATGACCTGACTCTAGGACTCATTCATTCAGCCGTGATCCTTTATGACTTAGGTGTGGTTTCGCCACACCAAACTTACCAGCTCCACACTAAGGAAATTTTGCAGGCTAAAAAGGTAAATTGTTCATTGTTAATAGTGTAGCAATATATATATCACAGCTCACACAAGTCACTTTAAAATCAAGCAACTTTCTGGTAAACGACACGTTGACAATTTGTTTGACCAACTGGAGTTAAACCTGTGTTCGAATTTTTTTTCGACCAATCGAGACTCCCGATCACATGAATTCAGAAATAGCCTTCTTTCGGCTGCAAACTTTAACAGAGCAATGGTAGTGATTGCACCTTTACTGTCTGAGAGAGTAAATGCTAATACTAATTCTCTGAGAATATGTCCACAACACAACTTATAACCACGACAAACATTAACCATGATGATCTATAAAAAAAAACATTGATAGCCAATCCGAATCAGCCCCGACTTTAAAGGGATACTCCACTTTTTTTGGAAATAGGCTCATTTTACCACTCCCCCAGAGTTAAAAAGTTGAGTTTTACCGTTTTCGAATCCATTCAGCCGATTTTCTGATATTTAGAAGAATATCAGTAACCAGACAGTTTCTCAATGACTTCCATAGTAGGAAAAAAATATATACTAGTCAAGGAGACCAGAAACTGTCTGGTTACAGATATTCTTCTAAATATCAGAAAATCGGCTGAATGGATTCGAAAACGGTAAAACTCTGGGGGAGTTAAACAGCCTAAAATGAGCCTATTTCCAAAAAAAAAGTGGAGTATCCCTTTAAAGGTAATGGCTGCATTTCGCCCATAAAATTTCAGAGCAACGTAAATTTTTAGTTAACCTTTACTGACTTTACGTTAATAATGTTTTATATTTATGTATTCACAAAGGGTGTTCTTTCATCACTCTTCATTTAATTAATAGATGGCATTTATTTTTCCTGTATTTCATAACCACAGTTGTTCTGTAAGTTTCTGTTCTGATTGTACTTTTATGTACCAACTGCATGGCTAATAGAGAAATAAAGACAAATTATTTAGTCTTACTCGTATTACCATCCCAATGCATTAACATTGACTAAACCAATGCATTCAGTAAGTCTGGGGGGCGTTCTGTGAAGATTATCTGTTTGTCTGACCAATGGCAGATGGAGGGAGCGTTCAGAAACCTCTTTGAAATCATTTGTTTGGGTGATGCTATAGTGGTAATTAAAGAATGGACATACTTAAAGCTAAAAAGCATATCAGGAAAATAGAAAAGCATAATATTTTTTCATAGTACATGCTAAATCTTGGGAACTCAATCTGTGGAATGGTGGTTTGTCCAGTATGGAGAACACAGCTCCTTCAGCAGCTGTTCTTGTACTTTTTATGTGATACATTGTACATTTTATCTGTTCATTTTCTTACCTCGCTGAGTTCAATCACTTCAGGTTTTGTGACGTAACCATTCTTGTCCACATCAAACAGTGAGAAAGCCCACTCTAGCTTCAAGGTGGATTTGCCTGAAGAGGTCATGTGAAGAGCAACGACGTACTCCTGAAAGTCTAATGTTCCATCATCATTGGCGTCAAAGGACCTAAAAACGTGTTGGGCATAGGTCTTGGCATCACTTTCGGGGAAGAATTTCCCGTAGATCTCCTCAAACTGTTGTAGTGTGATGCGAGCTGAAGGACACTGCTTCTGGAAGTTATCGTACCACTGGGTGATCTCAGCTTCAGAGAACCTGGTGGTCTGCTTGAGGTCATCCAGGATCTCTCTGGGAATCCCTCCACTCTGTGCGTTTCCCATGGCTTCTCTGAGTAATACAGAGGAAATAACAAAGGCTTTTAATTGTGTCCTTTGGTAAGGATCAGATGGGATGTTAGTCACTCAGTGTACCCAGTCAAAACTGTAAATTAGCCAGTGTGAAGTGTCAAGTGTATAGCTCATATTTCACACCAACAGCTTTTTTGAAATTCGTTAGAATGCCGTAATACAAAATTTTAAAATACAAGTAAGTCAATTGGTATATGGGGATAATTAAGCGGCCATGATGGACAGAGGCCACTGGGAAAATTTGGCCAGGATGTTCCATCTTGGGATTTTTTGTAACCACAGAGAGTCAGTACCTTGGTTTTAACGTCTCATCCGAAAGACGGTGGTTTTTGACAGTATAGTCTCCCCATCACTATAGTGGGGCGTTAGCACCCACACAGAGCACAGGGTGAGCGCCCCCTACTGGCCTCACTAACACCTTCCAGCAGCAACCTGGTTTTCCTGGGAGGTCTGCCATCCAGGTACTGACCAGGCTCAACCCTGCTTAGCTTCAGTGGACATCCAGTCTTTGGCTACAAGGGTGATTTGGCTGCTGGCGGATTATCACCTGTAAGATTATCCCATTTCTTCTGGAATTTAAATCTCGGCGGTGTGCAGTGTTGTGGCATCATCGATTCTTATTGTCAGTGATGAAATGCCACACTCTAAAAATGCTGGGTTATTTCAACCCAAATTTGGGTCAAATATGGACAAACCCAAATGTTGGTTTAAAAATGTAATTAAAAAAATTTACAGTTGAAAGTGAAAGTTGAAAATTTTAAATGACACTTTTAACCCAACATTATTTTGGGTTTGTCCATATTTTAGTTTTGGGTTAAAACAACCTAGCATTGTTTAGAGTGCAGTTTTGGGGAGTAACTAATTCCATATGTAACGGAGTTACGTTATGCAAGTACAAAATAAATGTAACTGTAATCATATTAGCTATGCTATTCTGCTGCTTTTGGTTCTCTTGAAATTGTCCACTAACTCTCACTAGAGTGTTAGTAGTAGACTGATGATAGGGTTAGGGATTGAATGAGTTGAGATGTTGCAAAGTTACTTATAGCCAGTTGAATTTATTTTGGGGGTCCATCACAATAAAGAGTTATATGATATTAAGCAGACAGTCTAGTAATACTCTACTGAGAGTTAGTTGACATGTTGTTGCAAAGTTACTTATAGTCAACCGAATGTTCAAAAGGGACCATCAAAATAAAGTGTCACCGGTTAAATGTATGAAATGATTAACAGTTAAAAACATTTGTTCGAAATACATTACTTTAATGAAGTAATTAAAATAGTTACTCTACTTATAGGGTAAATTGTAATCTGTAACCTATTACATTTCCATAATAATCTTCCCACCACTGCGAAACGCTGACCTTACCAATATGGCGGATGTGCCAACATGTTGAGCAGTCGAATGTGGAATCTACGTATATACATAAACTTCTGTACACTCAAAAACATGCTGGGTTGTTTAAACCCAAATTTGGGTCAAATATGGACAAACCCAAATGTTGGGTTAAAAATGTAATAAAGAATTTACAAGAGAAAGTTGAAGTTTGGGTTAAAAAATTAAATTACATTTTTAACCCAACAATTGGGTTTGTCCATATTTGACCCAAATTTGGGTTGAAACAACCCCGCATGTTTTTGAGTGTGCAGAAGTTTACAAATTGTAACTTATACAAATTATAGTTGACTTTTTTGTCCATTTGTGAACTGTTAACAACATTTTTTAGTCACTGGCTATGCCTTACAAGTCATTAAATACGAAAGTGTCCCAATGAACTGCAGTAAACAAAAAACAGTTTAGTCCAGGACTATTTGCCTAAACTATTTTACAAATTTAGCTTGAAATAAGATCATTACAGCTTTATTTATTGTGCACAGAGCTCATTTAAAAGAAATAATAAATCAAGTAAAATCAAAATAAATTAAAGGATATAAGAAGTTCCTTGGAGTAAGCCACTGACTGGGATGATTTGACAAGTGTTTAATAGTGATCTGATTATTCATGTATGTGCAACTCTTATCATGGTACTCTAAGAGATCAATATATATGTGTGTGTGAAATTAAATATAAATTAACAGAAAACAACATGCTTACCTGTGATTGTGGTTTAAGGATGAAGAATCACAGGGCAAGTAATCAAGATGGAGTGTGGAAGAGTAATGAGGCCGTGTCGAAGAAGGTGGCTACCTCTCCACTGAGTTAAGTCAATTACATAAGATTGCACAAGGCTCAGACAGAAAGAGATTACTTTTCATAATGTACAGTTTCTGTTCTGTTCTTTTTAACACCATTCAATGTAGTCACTGTTTCGGCTAAAAGGCTCTGACACGGACTGTTTTATGATTAGATTTTTGTAGTTTGTTATTTGTGGTATTGGGTAAGATTGCCATCTTTAAATACAATAGATACAGTAATATCCACAAGGTGTGCATAGAGATCAACCATTAGTGTCTAGAGAGAGGAATTTCCATCTAGATCTTCATAAATCTCATTAAACACCATTAAGTGGTGATGGTCTTCTCCTCTTAGTGTGTTGCCCAGTACTTTAGTGACCTTTGAAATAAAAACTGTTAATGCAGTTATAAATAGATAACTACTTTTAAAGCAGCTACAAAAAGACAAAAATGTTTACTTGAAATTCTCATGTGATGCAACACTGTAAAAAATATTTTCAAGATTTGTTATCACAACATATTTTCTTTTTGTCAAATCAACTTTACAATAATTTATTTAGTTGAGATAACTTATTATTTTGAGTTTCTGATGGTTAAATTAATCTCCTTCATTGTATTAACTCACTTTTTCCGGTTCAATCAACTTAAAATTTTAAGGCAACCCAGGTTACTTACTTTTTTAAGTTAAACCAACAATATTTTTTACAGTGTAGTAATCACAAAATTTTTTCTTTTGTCAAATCAACTTAAATAATTTATTTAGTTCAGATAACATATAATTTTGAGTTTCTGATGGTTAAATGAATCTTCTTCATTGTATTAACTTACTTTTTCAAATTCAATGAACTTAAAATTTTAAGGCAACTATACTTTTTTAAGTTAAACCATCAATATTTTTTCACAGTGTAAAGGTTATTAATGATCAAAAATATGTATTTATTTAGGGGTGAATGCAGGTAAACTGGAACTTTTTGCCATTTAGATGACTGGGAAAAAATGGCACAGTTATCCTGAATTGATTAACCACTTAACTGTCACCGTCCCACAGGTGGGACGTTTGCCACTATATTTTTAAAACAATAATATCTTAGTAAATACCTTAAATAATATTGACAAACTATATATCATTTGAAAGCTTACAATCTCTAGTTTCCATATTTGGTGACTGATTTTCAAAATATATTACAGAGGAGTCATAATTTATCAATATAAAACAAGAATATTTTCATACTCATAAGGCGTGTTCAGACCTTTATTTTAAAATAGCAGTAAACATGAAAAATCATGAAAAAATGGTAGAAACCTCAGTTTGTTTTCATGCCAAAAGTTCAAAAGATAGAATCCATTCAATTATTTTGGAAAAAAAGGTCTGAAAAGTTTGAAATATCAAGAAAAAATAATAAATTCACCATTTGTGACGTGGCAGCTAGCTATGACTTACATGCGTGTTCTTTGTATGTGTTCTTAGAGGTTCAATTCATATCAAAATCTGCCAAACTTCCCATACTACTTCTGAATAGGATCTCTACTTCAGAAATTGTATGAAAATTGTGAAAATAATGGTTCATATCACTCAAAACACGAATGGAAATGCAGGCGCCCTTATATGGGCAGTAATGGAGTCTGATTGTGCCCTAGTGAAAAAGTTTGGTACTGCGCTCAAACAAAATCTTACTGAAAGCTCATTTTTTGAGATATCAACCTAAAATTTGAAACACAACTTGTTCAGATTTTTGGCTTTGATTTTTCTGCCGTTTTAGAGTAGCCCAGGTTTTGAAAATATATATTTTATGTAAAATATGAATAATTAATATTTTTGCATTGTACATTTCCATAAACTCAAACCTCTATAACTTTTTTTCTGTTTCACTTTCTTAATTTATTTCACTTCTACAAAAATCTGCCAAATGTCTTCTTTAAAACAAGACCAATCATATGTCTATATTCCAAAGCATTCTTGAATTACAACCATTTAAGTTCGAAATGTGCATTTTTCATGTCTATTCAAAAAAGGGGGGGTGACAGTTAACAGGTTAAATTATTAATTCAATTTGAATGTTGAATATCTGCTTATTTGAATACAGCCCCAGGCAAGCCTTTTTTTAATTGAGGTTTTTATTTATTCATTGGAAGGATGATAGCGGTATTATAAAGGGCTATTTATGCATTTTAAAACAGAAAAAGTGCTTCAAAATGCTCCAACTGAAATGTTGCCTATTGGTATTCAATACAAGCTGTCCTTATTTTTAATCTGTATCCTTCTCTAACATTAAGTTTATCTTTGCTCTTTTCAAAGCGTTGGATCTGGGTCATAAATACACCCTGACAGTCTGGTTCTGATCAGCTTACTGTCCCTATAGTCTACCTCGTCCTGCCTACGATAATGTCCCCATACCAGACAATCCCTCAACATTTGCTCTATAAAGACAGAAATAAATAGGATTTGTTTAAGGAGAGAAAGAACAGCATAGCAATGAAATGAATGCCAAGCCTCGGGACACAAGTAATTTAATGACTGGTACAGTTAATTACGTCTTAGTATACCTTGATTAAACCCACATAATGTCAATTTACTGTAAACGTTTAACGTAGTGAGCATGTCACAAGATTTAACACAGGGAGTCCTATTGGGACTAATCTAGTCTCAATAGGATTCCCTATATATGCCTATTTTGTATTCTTTTTCAACAAATGTGAACATGAATATAGCTGATCAATGAAAATACACTGTAAAAAAATATTTTAATGATTTGTAATCACAACATTTTTTTCTTTTGTCAAATCAACTTAAATCATTTATTTAGTTCAGATAACATAATATTTTGAGTTTCTGATGATTAAATCAATCTCCTTCATTGTATTAACTCAATTTTTTCCATTTCAATGAACTTAAAATTTTAAGGAAGCCAGGTTACGTAATATTTTAAGTTAAACCAACAATATTTTTTTACAGTGTTGTCCCTAGTTTCCGCCTGTACTGCCATAGTAACCATGGCGACAGATGTGGACAACTGCGTAATGTTTAGCGGCATGTTTAGCTGTTGTTGTTTTGTTCAAACATTATGGATTATGGAAAGCAGACTTTGGGACAAAAGGAGAACTAAACTAATGTTTTCGAGATGCTGGGAGCTTCTCGGCAAACTTCGATTCAGTGCTGCGTTACCTCACAACAAGTTTAATTCGTCAAATAAACTGACCTGTGTGAGTAGTAATTCAGCACTTACGGGTAGTTTGGTAGAATTAAATGTCCTCATTCCTATACGTGTGGCGCTGATATCTGTCTCTCATTAAAAATCTCGCAGTCATGCTAAACATTAATTTTTTCACTCATCCATAAACATTATTAGATACATCGGCATGGCGACAAGTTCCATGATTCCGCTCATCACTGCGTCATCAATCTACTCATTTGTTATTGTAAGAGGTTAGCAACCCCTAGCAGTGAAAAAATTACATATTGTAGCTTTAAATGTTTAAGTTATTCTGAATGTTTAAGTCATTTCAACTTAAATTACATTAAACTGACTTTAAACGAATTGAATCTTGTATAACTTGTCAAAAATAAAGTTGTCATAAATGTCATAATTTTTTAATCATATCATTTTTTTACAGTGTAAAGGTGTAAACATAACATGGAAACTGTCAAAATAGCAGAATCTCTATGAAAAGTCCTGCGTTGTGAAAAATTTGTCAGTTTAAAACTATATAAATTATAATTATTGTGCATGTCATTTTCTTTAGCTGATATGGAGACCCAAGAATAGCAAGCAGGATTTCCTTACAAAATGGTACAGCATGCAATCACCCGGGTTCTCTTCTTACTAGGGCGTTTGCCTAAAAACTGGCCATAAAATTCATTAAAATCCATACAAAAGATTTCTGAAGATGTTTAATCTCACAGTTTCAAATCTTTTTGAAAGGAGGTGGTTATTTGACCTTTGGGTATACTGTATCTACAAACGATTTCCAGCTCATCCAAGACAATTGTTTTTTCACAACTTGTTTGCTCTTACATTACACCAATGTACTAATTTAGCACTATGAAAATTGCATGCCTACCATTGATTTGTATTTATATCTCTTTTTCCAAAGAGTGGGCTTACTTTTCTCACATCAAGTGCAAATCTTCCTTATCACTCCAGCGTGTACCACACAGAATATGCCTCTTTTAGACCACATGTGCTAATAAGGCCCAATCCAATTTAGAAGGCTTAAAACAGGAAAAGCCCTCAGAGATCAAGTGCAAAACAGGAAAATACCCTAGATCTAAATAAAGCCCACTGTTTTTTTTTTGTCTTAGACTAACCGTAAGCTTCTTTTTTTGTTTACTGGAAAAACTTAAGAGGCAGACAAGAAAGTTGATCTACTTGATTGATACTTGAATGGAGTCTTAAATTGATTCAATTAAAATGGTTTTTGTTTGATATTTTTTATATTTATTTTTGTAAATTCATTTTGTCTGTCATTTTATGGAAAGCAATTCAAAACATTTACTAAACACGCTTTTAATTAGTCAAAACTGATATTTATAGCCATGCAAAAGCCATAACCACCACTAGTAACTTTTGTCATATCATGAAATGTTTATGTCTGTCTCCACCTAGAGATCATATGATGTAATGCAAATGATTGTGCACTGATCACGATTTGCATTTAACATACACTGTAGCAAAAAGTTGCTGCCTTAAATTTTGAAGAACAATCAATTTGAATGTTTAAGTCATTTCGACGTAAATTAAATTAAACTGACTTCAAAAAAATGAGTTGAATCTTGTATAACATAAAAAAGTTGAAAATTGCTTACTTAAAGCAAAACTATGGATTATATATTTTTATACAGTGTAAACAATACTGACAATTTGCCCAAATATCAATCAAGATACATTGTGTGTACATGTTCAATTAACATTTTTTCTTTAGAATAAGAATATTTACAGAGAATAAACACAGCTCTTGGCCATCAATTGATAAAACAACAGATAATAAATGTTAAAAAATACAATGCATACATGTTAACACTT